GCGCGAGCGGCTGACCGAGCTTGGAGAGGAAACGGCAATCGCAGCCGCGCTCCTGCCCAGGCCGGCCCCGAAGCGGGCCTCGTCAGCCGGTAACGGGGAGCAGAGGTGGGGGCCAGGGAGGCGACCGCGAAAGCGGTGAAGGTCAGAACCCGGAGCCTTCCAGCGACCAGGGTGAGGACCGGGTCCGAGCTTGCCCTCCTCTCGGACTCCGCAGAGCTGAGGCGGGGTCGATCCCTCCCAGGGGCGGGGTCGCGCTGGGCTGCTGCAGCCTAGGGGACCCGCTGGGCGGGGCGCGCCAGGAAGGGGAGTAGGGGGTGGGTTGTGGGCGAGTGCACCTCGGCAGCAGAAAGCGAGCAGTGGGTTGTAGAGCGGAGGCCCAGGGTGGGATCCCGGAGCCGGGACTCCCGTGACGGGGGGGAAGCCCCGGGTCGGCGGGTCCTTTCCGCCTCGCCTTTGGACCCTGACTGGAGGCTGGCGGGCGGGGGGAGGCAGGGAGAGAGGCGCGAGGGGGGCGTGTCCCGGGTCTGCTCGGCGCTGATTGGCTGAGCGTGTGTGGAATCGGGTGATGGGAAACGCAGAGCGGCTCTCCGGTCCCCTCCTGCTCCGCTCCCACCTCCCCGTGGCGAATGTGCTGAGCGACGGCGGGTGCTTACGTTCGCGGGGTTTGGCTGTTGCAGGCAGGAGCTGGGAGGAGGCGGCAGCGGCTGGAGCAGCAGCGGCGGCAGCTGGGAGGAGGTGGTGACGGTGGCAACGGCAGCGTCGGGGACGATGGCGCGACTGGTGGCAGTATGCAGAGACGGGGAGGAGGAGTTCCCCTTCGAGAGGAGGCAAATTCCCCTCTACATAGACGACACACTCACGGTGAGCGGGCCGGGCCGGGCTGGGCCCGCTGCTCTCCTGGCAGCTGTTTCCCCTCCTTCCCCTCCCCCAGGCCGAGCGCTGCGTACTGGAGAAAGAGTGTGTTGCAACTCCTAGGCGAGGCCTTCTCTCCGGCAGGCCCCACAAACTCGCCTTTGCAGTTGATCTCAGTATCCTCTGTCGTCCCCAAGGCCAGCGCCAGTAGCGCACTTTGAGTCCCTCTCCCCAGGTTTTCCTTTCTATTGAACCCTCTCCCTTTACCTTTTCCCTTTAGGGGACTCTGCTTTTGCCAAAGCATGCGCCTTGGAGAAGGGTTGAAGGATCTTGGGCGTTTGGGGCCTATCCCTTACAGAAACCACCTACCCTCGGGGAGGCTTAATTATCTGGAAATGTCGCAGCTTCATTGCTACCTGAGTATTTTCTCTTTTAATGCCATAGCACTCACTACATAAGCATAATTACTGAGGCCGGGGTGACATGCTCTTGCACAGTAAAGATTCCACTAAAATGATTCGGTTTGGTTGTAAGCAGTCTTCATGTTGTCTAGCACATTAAAGCTCTTAAAATACTTGCACTGCTAGGCCCTGACTCTTCAAAATGGACTTTCTTGGTTTTATTCTTTAGTTTATGGCCTTTTTTTGGGAAACGGAATTATTGGATGTGTGTGAGTACTATAAAAAGCTTATTGCTCACGTTGAGTGTAAAGAACTAATCCTGAGTAGTTTTCTTTTTTCTTAAGATTTAGTATAGCATTGCTGACCCTCTGCCCTGTGCTGCTGTACTATTTCCTCTAAAAGGAAGTGGCAGAAATTTGAATTGAACCAGAGCAGGAAATGAGTACAGTTGCTTGTCACTATTTCTTAAGAAATTAAATGAACCTTTTCTGAGTATTTTCTGAAACCTACATTTTGGTGATGCTGACCCTGTGGTTTATACATTTGCCTATTTTGATAAGATGTGTATAGAAGTCTCTTCATCTTAGCATCCTTGTTTGGATTTTTGGCTATTCAAGGATGGTTGATCAATTTTCTTTCTGAATTTTTTTTTGCAAATACCTACTGAAGGCTTTTACATTTTATATAAAATGCAAGTCATTGTAGAGATGCCAGCCTGTACCTTTCTTTATGCTAGTCTCAACTGAGATTTGATTGAGCTGCAGTACTTCCAAAGGATTAAAAGAGCTGTTGAATAACTTAATTTGTTAGAACTTTTCAAGTGAAAGCATCTTTAATTATTCAAGTGATCTCCCTTCCAAGGCAGAAATATTTTTAGAAATTACTTGTATGCCTTGGTTATGATTTTGGTACATTTTTAGTTTTTGGAGGTAATGGACTTGCATTTTTATGTATTATTTAATTTTTAATTTTGCTTTTTTTTTAAGATAGAGGTCTCCAAGTTGCCCAGGCTGGTCTTAACTCTGTAGGCTTAAGCAGGTCTCACTAGGTGGACTGCAGGAATAAACTACCATTCCTTGCTCCGCACTTGTATTTTGTTTAGTTTTTTTTTTTTTTGAGTCGGGTCTCACTATGTAATTTTGACTGGCCTTGAACTCACTGTGTAGCCCAGGCTTGGCCCAGAACTTTCAAGGAGCCCTGCCCAAGTGCTGGGATTACAGGTGTGTATCACCATACCTTGCTTGCACTTGTATTTTAGTATATGTGCTGCGAAAGTGGACACTGCACTTGTATTTTAAATAGATAAAAACAAAACAAAAACCTAACTGATCAAATTAAAACCTTTCTCAATGTAGAAACTTATTTGTTGATTTTTTTTCTTCTCTTCTCCTCCAACATAAACACTTCTAAGACACATACATAGTTTGATGTCAGTCTTTTAGGCTTATTGTCCCAGAATGGCTTTGAAGTTGTGTGTGTGTGTGTGTGTGTGTGTGTGTGTGTGTGTGCACGTGTGTGTTTAATCCTAAGGGTTTGGGTATGAAATTATTCTTTTTTTTTTTTTGGTTTTTTGAGACAGGGTCTCACTATGTAGTTGAGACTCACCTGGAACTCACTATGTAGCTCAGGCTGGTCTCGAACTCACAGTGATTCTCCTGCCTCAGCCTCACTAGTGCTGGGATTACAGGCATGCGTCACCACTCCCGGGCGAAATTATTTTTGAGTATATCAAACCATAAGGAAAAAACAACATAAATTTGAGCATTTGAGAAGTTTTAAGATACTTACTCTTTCTTTACACCTTGATAGCCCAACTTTAATGTGAGTGCAACACATTTGTACACCTGTCATGTAGCACTTCTAAATGAAGTATGGTGTATTTTCCACAGTGATAGGAGTTTCCAAAATTTTTATAGAAGAATATGTTACCTTTCACTGTGGTTTAGTATGGTACTTGTTTTACACTGTACTAGGTGGTTGAGTTTAGTTTTTATTTTTTTATGGATATGTGACTATGTCAAATAAAATTAAAGATTACATAAATATCTCAAAATACCATTTTATTTAGAAAAAGGTGCAATGTTTCTTTGCATTGGAATGGGTTTTTGTCACTGGGGATGAATGAGAGCTTTTATTCATTATTTTGTCTCAGAAACATCTGCACACACATCAGGGCTGGGGATTTAGCTTAAAGGTGCCACTACCTGCAAGGTCCTGAGTTCGATCCCTGGTACCCCCCTGCCAAACATCTATCTACACAATAATTGAATGCTGTTAGTGAATGAATGTTAGTAAAATCCCTGTTAAGGATGTACCATATTTAAACAAGTTTCTTACAGGACCTTTCTGTCCAATTCCACTTAAAGGTGAATGCAGATCAAAGCACCTGTTGGGAAGGAAAGGGGAAGATGAAGTGAAGATGCTTGAAGTCTATGTTCTGCTTTGGCCCATTCATAGTTTGATGACAGTGTGTGCCTGAAGTTAATATTTGGTTTGATCTTTGTGCTTAGGGTCTAGAGGTAACATGATGAGGAAACCTAGTGTGATCTTTATTTCAAGTATAATAGTTTTAGGATCTTGTTAGTAGGGAGATGTTAATCTAGTTACAATGTTTACAGTTTACAGGCAGTTGCAAATGTTATTTTAGGAAGATGCTGAAAACTCTAGCCTTAAACAGGCAATTTTAACTTGGATTTAAAGGGGCCAGGGTTTGGCTGTGTGCTTCTGCTGCCTGCCTCACAAGGACTCAACTTCGATCCCTGGTAACACACACACACACACACACACACACACACAAAATGAACAAAAATGGCGGCATTCTTGGTGGCAGTGTCCCTTCTGCTTTACTTGGATTTATAAAATGGAATTAAGGTTGTATGTGAAGAAGTAGCCTCTTTTTATGTTATATGTTATATTTACATTTAAAAGATTTCCATGGTAGTTTAGTGCTTATAAACACTTGTATACAGTGCTGAAATTTGAGAAAAATCCCAAATAACTAAACTGGTAGAATATTAAGAAAAGTATTAAGCCACCTGGTCAAATGTTGCTCAGTGTTAATAGAATTATAAAATAGCTGATAGAATATAGATTTTGGCCAAATGTTATGGTGCATTCCTATAATCGCAACACTTGGGAGTCTAACAGGAGGATTGCTGTGAGTTTGTGAGTATGTAGCCTAGGCTACATAGACCGTGTCTCAAAAAACAAAAACAGGGCTGTGGATGTAGTTCAGGGGTACCACGCCTGCCTAGCGAGGACAAGGTCCTGAGTTTGATCCTGGTACTGCAAAACAAAAAACATTTTATTCTTGATTTTTTTTTTTTTGGTACTGGGGATTGAACTCAAGCCCTTGCGCTTGAGACGGAACCACTGAGCTAAATCCCTGGCCTTGAAGAATTATAATTTTTAAGCAAATAGTTTTAAAAATAAATTATAGAACCAAAATATACATTCCTTATAAAACAAAGTACCCTTAGTTCTGCTTCCTAGTACTTAGTGTAATTCAAGACATAGACATAGGCATAGGTACAGAGTTGACATACATTGTTTTCTTTTTTTTTTCTTTTTGGTTGGTGGGGGGAATAGAACTCAGGTCCTTGTGCTTGTGAGGCAGGCGCCAGAATCACTGAGCTAAATCCC